GACTAATTTCATGTCATTTTGAACAATTTATGATTCATTTTTAGACTAAATTTGAGTCATAGTAAACAAACGTCAAGTCATTTTGGACAAGTAAATGTCTTTATGCCATTTTTATTATGCACATTATTGAGTCATTTTGCAGAAGTTTTAAGCAATTTTCAACTAATACTGAGTCATTTTGGACCAATTTAGTGTCATTTGAGACACGTTTACATCGCTGTGACTCAAGAGGTTTGGTTCCTTTTAGACAAATTGTAATTTCTTCTTTGTGTTTCTTGACACCTGAAATCTTTTGTTTGGTGTCATACTTTTCGAATATCACAAATGAACTTGACATATTTCTCAGTCTAAATGTAGAATATTTAATGTTAATGAAAAAAAATAAATTTCAATGCTACTTTTTAAATTAAATTCGCTGAAGTACCATCAATCAGTTAAAGTTAATTTTGGGAGTTAACTAAGCTTTGAACCTGAAGGCAGTAAACTTCAAATAAACCATCCTAGTTAGGTTTTCTTTGCAGGTACTGTGTATTTATTCCATCAGTAATTAAGAATTATTAGAGTAAAGTGTAACATTGGCAGTTATTTTTGGTCCAGAAGTGAGCATCTCCTTGAAATATGATTTACAATAAAGACATGTGTGACTCATCTAAGTCACATCATTAAATCTAAAACCGGTGCAGGCTGTGAAGTGTCCTAATAACCTAAAAATGAAGCGTAATAAACCTAATGAGTTTATTAAGTGGTCAGTAGGACATTAATTTAGCTTCTCATTGACTTGACCTTAAATTCTGAAGTAGCTCTGGTGTTATAAAAACTATAAACTTGACTGGTTACTTACAAAAACTGTATGTCTGCTGTTTGTCCACATGATGACCAAATAACTCTAATGTAGATCGTTCAGAACACAGAGGCCTGCACTGCCTCCCGATGGGCTTTAAAGTAAACAGCAGCTCAGTTAATGAATCAGTTGGTTAATCGGGCTGATTAGACCTGCTTCCACTCAAACGCTGATTATTCATCTACTTACTGACTGAGATTCTAAAGTTGTTCAACCAGAAGAGATGCAGCAGAGCTCACACAGGTAGACAGATGTCAAAAAATAACAAAACACAACAAACTATCCTCTACTTTGCAAATATATAAAAAGAAAGAGCAAAAAACTGGTTTGAAATGTATAAGCAGGAAAGAATCTTGGAATTATTTGCTCAAAAGGTTGTTTTTTTTCTTTTTTTTTCTAAATAAAACCAAATATTGATATTTGACAAATAGAAGCAGATTCTCCCGCTACAGTTTCCTGTTCTCTTTCTACACTTTCCTGTTCTCCTGCTAGTTTCCTGTTCTCCTGCTACACTTTCCTGTTCTCCTGCTACACTTTCCTGTTCTCCTGCTA